GCCTACAAGGTAGAAAATTGGTGACTGATTCATTCCTCACTCTCCCGTCACTTTTCACAAGTCAAATGGTGTACTGCATCACCGCTTTGACAGTGTTTACATTTTGGCTTTTTCCCTTAACTTAGGTTCTAAATGAGTGACTTTTTTACTCTTCTTATGTTCATCTAAATTATAATTGTGCCTGATGGTGTGTCCAGGGTTCAAGTGAGGCAATTGAGGCTACCTGTTGCATTCGTCTACAAAGTTGCCTTGGCTACTAATTCAACAGCAGAGACGATGGAAGGCTTGATTGGACGGGTAGTCTTTCGGAGGCTCGTCGCCGGGTATGGAAATACTGCCTTCATAACGTAAATATGTGAAGATTGGATGTAAAACGTGACTATGCGATGCAACCACAAATATTATGAACCAATATTTTGCAGATGAGACGGATTCCTGAGTCGACGATGCTTTTTACCCGTAAAGTGATTGACTTCATCTGTTTCAACCACTTCCAGACCTTCAGTGATAACCGTCCACTTTGCACGCCTTTTAAGCGTTCTCTTAAATTCTTCTACACGTTGATAATAAAAGTATTGCTAATATATCATTTCTACTGGCCCTTGTTATGGTTAATTAATGAACGTACACTTCAGCATTGAACCTGAATGAATTGATGGTGATGACGGTGGCTGCAGTAAAGCCGATGACATTCACAAATCCACTGAAAATGAGGAGGGAGAGGATATTTCGAAAGCATTCATTAAATCGTCTGTGGCCTTTCTGCGTCGACTCCACCTCGGATTCCATCAAGACATATTACGGGCGCAAAGGGGAGATCGAAGAGGCTGACTAACAAAAAGTCATCGTTATAGCAGATGTGTTTTTGTCATTTTTTGGTTCCTCAAACTGTGTTTAATATGTTTAATGCGTTGAAAAAAGGGCAGTGAAAAGATAAACAACCTACCAAAATCAAGCACACCTCCAACTGACTCCTTCTTGGCACGGTACGATGTAGTCAAGGCAATCGTGCTGACATAGCAACGAAGGGGTACACAATGGTTGCTGTGGCAGCAGTTAAGCGCATGGCGGACATTAAATTGCCACACTTTTGGTAGACCTCAGCCATTTAAAGTAAAATAAGAGCAATGTTAGACACGACGCAAATTTAAAAGTAGAATTTTATTTAGATTGTGGAATGGAGGGACTTAGGCGTCCTCATGGTTTGAGCGTCGGGAGAGATGTGCGACCCATCTTTGTAGCGTACAAATTACAAATGCAGTCGTTAATAGCTGTGGCGGCTGAAGTGCCCGCAGAGTTTCCACTAGGTAGAGGAAGGCATCAAGTTGGGATTGCATCTTGGCTTGACCTAAAGGTCAGCACGCCCGAATACCAAAGTAACCGCCAGTCATCAAGTGGTCACATAAACAAGGCATTACACTCTCCCCTTCTTCTCCTCTTGAACGACGTGCTCGACACTCCCCTTGGTACATCTCTCGCGCCATCCATCACAACATATTCGGCACTGCTACAAGGAAACACCTACGAACCGGCCACGTCAGTCATCAGCAACTACGCACTGAGAAGCGCTACCTGTTCGTCTCAGCAACTTCAAGTGGATCTGCAAGTGCGTTTGGTGTGGCAGCAGGAATCGCAGGTGCACCGATGTATACGCGATGTGTTGAACGGGGAGGATGGGATGAAGCACAGTCCTGTGTGCAAGGAGGTGCGAAGTAGCGACAATTGCGACACCTATTCGCGGATGTCAACGTCGCTTCAGTTGTTAATGTCTCATTTGTGGAATTGGGGGGACAAGGTGGAACCAAAGGTAAGCGTCATTCTGAGGGAATCAGAGACTCCACCATTCTGTGCACATGCGCTTCTATCGCACCGTAGATGCAAGCCACGAACAGTAGATTTTGTGATAGAAGTCGTTGAGGGAGGTCGAGTTGGATGGCCCCGCTGCTGCCAGTGTAGGGTTGGGAGAGTGCCCACCAGGTGGGAGAAGGCATTTATTCTGGACGGGAGGGAGAAGGGGTATGGGAGGGGATGGGAGGGAAGGAGGGGATTGGGCCTTGACTTGACCCCACGGTTAGTGCAAAGACGGATACCAAAAGTGACCTTTAGGCATGAGGTGGTCACATGAACAAAGAATTGTGGACACATCAATCATCCATGCCCTAGTCAAGATACTGCCCCACGCCCACAGCGAGCATTGAACACAAGTGTCGCCTTTCTTTCGTGCGTTGGGCAAGATTGAACACTTCTCGTGAGAAGCCTTAGGCCCACCAGATAAACTCCTCCATCACTACTCCTAGCATTCCAGTTCTCATGGAAGAGGATTAAACTCCATCATCTCACGTTTAATTTATTGTCAACATTCCTTTATGCAGTTCGATAGAAAGTTCTATCAGCTAACCGTAAGCAGTCCCTATAATTTCAGTGCCAAATTCTACTACTCTAATCCAATGACGACTGCAACGTTCTAAGGCTTCTCTTTTAGTAGGAGAAGTCATTAAGCAGTGCTAAGCACTTGCAGTAAAAAAGAGGGGACGAAAGTTGAGTTTTAGGCTAACCCAAAAAACCAATGCACAAAGTCATGAGTAAGATGAATACCAAAGTGACCGCCAATTCCATACCAGTCCAATGAACAACGAATGTTTGATTCCAGTGGGTACCTTTTAATTTACTTAATTTCCTATTTAGATAAAATGGTATTTTTTAGGACCTTGCATATACTTGGCTTAAAATTTTGCAAAAAAAGAGGTGGGAGTAGATCAAATGTTTAGAAATAAAATTAGTACTGTAATATGCTTACATTAATGCTTTTAAGTTGCTCTAATGGGGGAGAGGTGGTTGACAATTCGATCACGACTTTTGTGCTCAAATAACGAAAAGAACCCTTCCGCGGAGTAATCCCGGATCGACGTCTTACCCTTTTCCATTCCTCCAAACCATTCTCTTATGAAGCCAGAGGCTCAGGAGTCTTATGGTAGACTGGGAGGCCCTTCAGATGCGCTGTGTGAAGCTATTTTGTGCATTGTTTATTTCGAAAATTTCAGTTACATTGCATCTTGGCAGCAGAATGATTTGATGTTTGTTTAAATTCCCCTTTGACTACTCTGGACCGTCTGACGTCAAACACGGTGCCTCCAACAGTTGTCACGCGCCTATAGTCACGCTTATGGCTAAGCAAAGCTTTCGAATGAATGATCCAACCACCTTCCAATCGCCAAAGCCTTTTGCGACAGCGGATGAAACCGACAAAGCTAAGTAAAGGAACCAAGGTTATCCATAAGGCTCATTACAATTGCCTGAATGCGTATGTTCAGATAGAAGTAGAAGAAGTGTGGCTTTTAGAATGGCTCAAAGGCTAAAGGGCTGTAGAAGAGAACCGCGTACACTAAAGTTGTTGCTTATAAAAGCCGTCAAACTGTTTAATATTAAGGATTTAGTAACAGGCTAGTAGCAAAGCGATATATTAAGTACTGCAAATTCAAAACGCCGTTTCCCCCATATGCTGGCCAGTGATTTAAAGCAAAAATAATGCTGTAACATATAATAATGAGTTCAATTTGGCCTTTATAAGGAGGAGGCGGGAAAGCAATTTGAATACGAATTCAGTTCGTGAGGAGGGTGAAAATATGTTCTCAGGATAAAATTTACATTCCTTCTCATCACTTCGCTCTCCATGTCCTTTCCCTCTATGTATGATGCCTAATAAATCTTCTCCAATTGGCCCTCATAGTGTCCCAAGAATTCCCACCGGCTGAAAGAAGCACCAAGTTGAGTTGAATACGTGTAGTTTAAAGAGAACAAAGCAATTAGGCCTGAGCATAGTACGAAGGCCAGCCCACACGTACAAGAGCTAGACGAATCTTAAAGTGGTCACATAAATAAAGAATTAAAGCAGTCACCTGAGGTCCGAGGTTCAGGACCTGAAAGTAGACAGGCAAATCCCACATTTGAACAATATTTTGCCTCAGGAGCATGCTCAATAGTAATCAGATGGGTATAAATGTAGTTGGCATAGTGTTTCGCTCACTTGACCACATGACTTTTGGCGGTCACTTTAGTATGTGTCTGGAAATGTGCCCGAGGGCTGGCCTTCAGGGCATTCTCAGGCCCATTTGCTTTGTCCTCTTTGGAATACGTGGATCTGGTTTCACTTACGGTCTTCCGCCCGGTGGATAGTCTCGGAACATTACACTAGTGGCCACCTCTTTGCGATATTCGCAATGGCCTTGTTAGCGTAAGCAGCCTTTTAGGCCAAGTCCAATCTCAACCTGTAACTCATATTGCTTGTTTAAATTGTTCGTAAAGGTGGTAGATGAGCATCCGATTTGAACGCTGTGACCGAAGATGGCGGAGGGGGAGTTCAGACGACCCGTTGGATCCAAACTAGTTAAGCTCTTACTTCTTTCACATTACTTTTTAATTGTATAACCCTTCACAATGCCAAATTAAGCTAGTTAAGGAAAATCATTTAGTTGCCTCACATGTAGAAGATGTTTATTAGAAAACGAAAACCGCCATGTAACCTATAATCAGACAAACATCAGTATATACCATGACATAAAATGCTGCAAACTAGAGGTTTAGTGGAGCCTCTCATTTCATCGCTGTCGCAATTTAGATGAGATATCTCATTTTGTCGACAAAAACTGCAAATTATTTTAAAGTTGTCTATTTGCTGTAACTAACCTGTGGGGGTAAAATAACATAAGTACAAAAGCGAAGACTTTTCCACAATTACTTTTACGGAAATATAAAATACACCTTAAGGTCATTGACAATTTGTTTCATTCAATCACTCTGCATTATGCTAACGAAATTTACTAGTTCTTTCGTATTTCGTGCATGGAGTAATTTTTGAGGCGGGGTTTAGTTGCTTTTTGTTATTGAGTGGTAGATTCATATTTCTTCTCATTCATGGATTTTATGAGATCGTTTTATCCACCAGCACCGGATTTTGTGACCATTCTAACCTCATAACTCCTTACCATCACAGGACACTTTAAATGGAGCGTGATGATTTTCGAAATCAAGTAAGTTATCCTCTCCTCGCATCATGCCCTCTTGGACACTTAAACTGTTTCATACCAGTAGCTTCACAGACTTGGCTTTCTCCTTATTTCGACCGTTTTGTCTGTAGAAAATTCAGGAATTTGTAATTCGCGTTCGTACTATCCCCTATGGTGCTATGTTGGAAAAAAACGACGCAACTAAAATTGCTAAACTTTTCCTTCGTGCCCGGAAGTTTGATGTTACTAGGGCACTCGAGTTGTACAAATCGTATAAAGTAAGTCATTCTCAACCCTATTTTGTTTTGCAATCAGTACAACTGACGTCTTCATAATTGTTAATATATATTTTAGCATGTTCGCTACAGCAACCAATTGGAAGCCATCGATCCCTTAGAAGAAGGTGTTAGACGGGAACTTTTGTCCGAAAAATTTACCGTTTTGGTAGGGCTTAGTACCTTTACCCTTTTTTATTTTGGAGTTGTGGAGTTTGTAATAAGAAAACGCAAAACTTGAGCGACCCTTGGTTGATGCCCTGGAAAATACTAATCATGCCATCGTGTAGAATGCGATGCTCAATTTTTGTTTCTTTCCGTTAATCCATAGGAATTGCACTCACGTCGCACTGAATGTTTTCAGTGTTGATGCATCTGTCTTTCTAGCTTGGAAATTCACAGAATCTGCTGTTCAGCTTGACTAAATTACACGGCTATCGGAAACTTAAAATACTTTGCCTCCATCGCCTTTATTGTAGTTTTTCGGGTGAAGTGGTTCCATCCACTGGTCTTTTACTAATTTTAGTTTTGTTGGGGCTCTTGTGACTAAAACGTGTCATAATTATATTTCGAGAGAGTAGATTAAAGCGGAGCCTCTCTAGATTTTGTTTGCGTTAAGGGCTTGATGTGATTGAAGAGTCATGCCATTCCATAACGCTTTTGTAATTCAACCTGTTAAAATTTGTGTGAACTTGTCACATAAAACTCAATTTAGTTTACCCAAGAGTACTTTGATTCCGTCATGATTATCTCTTATTCATGTGGTTCTGGTGGGTTGCACGGTTCAACCGTCTAATTTACTCCAATGTGTAGCATAATGTTAATATGTTCTTGTCTTCTGAAAGCAATTTGTTACAGTACTGCTTGATGATGACGTTTTACACTTGTCTCTGCACAGTCCACGCAGTCTCCTACGTTCATTGGAATGGTGCTGCATCGGTAACGTAGTTTTATGGACGTTGTCTTCCGATGGGAGAAAAGGGGTCGGCAAGTTAGGAAAGGTCTATAGTACGGGGAGTCGATGTGGTCTATGTAGTAATTGAATGCGGGTTGAAGTGTCGAGATCCTTACCTTCTATTGGCAAAAGTGTGATTAATGCATAATTTAGAGGGTCTTAGCGGTCATAAATTGATGGTCATTACCCAGAGGAAAGGGATGAAAGTTCCCGACAATTGTTGCCTCTTAAGTGAATTGAGTCGCTATAATCTCAGCTTCTTGGCTAAGAATAGGAGGATAATTTTAGTGCTGTGTAAACCGTTCCATACAAGGTCCTGCCATGAACAGTTATTTTTTTTCTGCATTATGAACTATTTGAGCCATTTAAGCTGTGCTCTTGGACGTTGTGGTATGACATCTGAAAGTTGGCAGAAGGAATGTTGGGTTCACAAGCCCTCTATCCTGTCTTAACGCTGAACAGCGAAGTTCAACGAGCTTTGGATGATTTGGTATCCCTTTATTACGGCACCATTTTAGTCGCATTCCTCAAGCATTGATCCAACGGTGATGGTGTTTACAGTTCGCCGACACTGGCCACCCAATTGCACGGACAGGGACGTGCTCAAAGGCATTATCTACCAATTGGACGCAGCGCTTCTTGAGTACGTTCCTCTGTTGTTTATTTTTTGTATGCCCCACGGCGTATTAACATTTCTTTTACGCCGATGCTTGGACGTGCCTGCACCCGTCCGTCTCCACCGCATCATCTAATGCTTGCGGTAGCTTTATGTTCTTCTACCGTTTCTTCACGCATGATCCTTGTGATTTGGGTAAAGCTCCCTTTGTAACAAAAGTGTAATCAAACATCTTAACAACTAAAATTTGCCCTAAATCCACTTTCCCGAACGATTAGTAAAGCGTTGACTATTCCCGAATCTCGTCTTTCAAAATTCAAACGCAGTAAAGGTTGAGAGACTGTGAAAGTTCGGCGCCTTTTCCGTTATTGGATGTAGCCGTCAAAGGAAGTGGTTGTTGGGAAGCGACTTTGCTAACAGAGGAACGATTCTGGGTTAATACCTTAGTCTACTTGTCATCTTTTGAGGCTAAGTGAGCATTTTGTGACTTATGGTGTTCATTTGGAACTTTGATCTCACCAATCATTTCGAGTGAATCTCTATTCTTGAAGGTTTTGAGTGGAGGAGTGTGAAATTTCATCCGGAAGTATTTCATTTTCGAGCTTTAAAGCTGTTGACAGAGCTAACTCTAGGTTTTAAGATCAGCTTCGTGGCCACTTTTATCGTACTTTCAGGCGGCACACTTCTCCTCTTGGACGTCGACTTCCAAAAGTTTAAGAAAGGTGGTTGAGGAAGGCAATTGTTTTTGGAAGTTGGTGAACTGCTTCTGCATCCATTTGCGCGAATTACCTTCTCGCATTGATGCAGTCCCTTGATCATTGCATTTCGCTTCGTTCGTCCATTTCTCCTTTCAAACTTCACAACTTAGTAAGAAGTGATTTTTCTGTCACCATCTCCTCCGAAAGTTTTTTGACACATGATTTGTTAGAAACGTCGGCGTTAAAAGGGTCATAATAGATTTGACCCTGTTATTCATACTTTAAGACTTTTTCTTCCTTTGAATGTCAGGTTTCGAAGCTTAAAGGTAGTCATGAGAGAAGCAACAACTCCTGGACGCGATGTTCCATGTATCCGTTGATCAGAAGCCACCTGATAAATCCACTTAGATGGGTTTGATGACTTCTTGCACTATCGAAACTGTTTAGAGTCCTTCTGCTTCTGGCTCCGTCTAACAAGCCATTTTTTTCCAAGTTTTTGTTTAATCGTTTATTTTCCCATGTTCACAACTACCCTTTCTGCACTTCTCGACGCCTCTCCTATGAATCCCTTGTTCTTAAACATCGTCTTGTAATACGCTTTCCTCATTGAATGCGCTATGGAGCTGATGATGATGTCCACCATTCTGTTTCCTCTTATCTGCAGTGAACAAACACAGGAACAGGGTGTGACCGTGATCTACGATATGACTGATGCCAAATACTCAAACTTTGGCGCCGATCTCTCCATGAAATTGCTCAATCTCCTCACCGTAAGTGATTGTGCTTGTTTCACTAGTTTAACCTTCGTCTGCCTCTTCGTCTCCACAACCTATCAGTTGGTTCTCTGATTTCCACAATATTGTTGAAGGATGAATCATTCATAGGTTGGTTAAGAGACCTGAGTTACAAATGCGAGCTTCCTTGAGGAGAGTCCTACGATGAGTTTTGGGAGGATGGGATTACGAAGTTGATTTTGGGTTTGAAAGCCTTTTTTGCGTCTTCACTAACCACTACTTCTCTGTTGTGGATTGTGTAACTCTACGTTTTTTCGAGTTGGCCTTGTTTGCACGCGGGCACATCAGCCAGTAGGTGAAATAGTAGCGACACCTTCTCCAAATTCAAGCATCGCTACTCGGATCCGTCTTCTATGTGTGTGATCTTGGGTACGATACATTGGTTAAACTGTCGACAAACTTATGTAGTTGCAGTTTCCTTCCATCAGTTGGTCAAATCCTCACCTTTTCCACACACGCCTTTTTCGTTCTCTGTCAATTGCAAAGTGATCTTAGTGACACCAAGGAGCAACAGGTTTCCTTATCATGCTGTTCCCAATTATATTGCGTAATTTCCAGGTCATAACACAAGAGGATCCTGGCCACTTTTTTATCTCCTAAGTTTGGGTGAGATCAAGTCCATAGAACGTTGAATTCTGTCGAATTAATGCAGGGTTGGATGGAGCAACAGGATGTTATGTGATTTACAGCGCTTCATGCACCTAATTTATGGCATGATTCATGATGCCTTGGGCTCTTGCTAATTCTGGCGTCACCAGGTAATATTGCACGTTTGTCAGATTGCTATTGAAAGACTAACAATGCTGACCGACTGACTGAATGGGCTCTGAAACTTCTGCATGATGAAATCAGTCTAGCTGGAAGTTTTGCCTTTGTCTAACCGTTAGGAAGCTTGGTTCTACCCTCTTCTTCACTCCTAAACCTATTTTGTTTGTTTTCTTGTTTGTTTGGGAAGATGATTGCTTGATGCAAGGATGTGGTAATCATCACCTTGAGACATGTCACTTGGGAAAATAAGGAAAGACTAAGGGGTTTCGCTCTCTCCCCTCTTTTTACCCCTCTAGTGTAAATCCTTCCGTGGATTAGCTTTACAGCAGCAATACTGGGAAAGGGGAGGGATTTTTATTCCGGCTTATTCGACCACTTCTGAGGGCCTTTTTTTCCCCGTTCACACTCGATCTTTAGCCGGCAAACGGTTGCGTCTGCATTCCACACGCATACAAAAGCAAACCCAGTCAACTGGAAGTAGATTGTTGCATACCCTAGAAGTGTGTCATGGGTAGTGAATGCACTGCTTGACGCTGCTAACCAATGATTTGCTCAACGAACTTTGGAATCGACTGTCGACGTCACGAGTTGGTAGATTGTTAAGGAAACGGTGAGTTCTTACTAAGGCGTTTGAGAGCAGTTGATAACAATTAAATCACATACCTTGAAGTCCATTTTAGTGACGCCAATGTCAGGGAATTATCGTAATGTTCAAATTGAGTATTACAAGGTCCCCACTGACTGCCTAATGTGGAGTACTGCTGTCAATTCGCCTCGCCAAAAGTGGAGTAAAGTTGATGCCGCCCACTTATGCCTGTTAGCAGCTCGTCCTGCCACCCTGTCAGTCGGGCTCAAGTTTTCTCACTGCGAGTTGGGAAAGTGGAATGAGGAATTTATGAAGTTGTTGGTTCAGTAGTTTTGATTAAAAAGTAAAAATTTATTTTGGGCTTTTCGAGCGAGTTATGGAGACTTTGCCATGGTCATCGCAAGCGTCATGTATGACTCGATTATCTTTTCTCTCCAAGTAATTTATCACTTTTACCGCTCCAATGTTTGGCTCTTGGTTTTTTTTTTTTTTTTT